CTCTCTACACACTACACACAGCGCTCCTCCACATTACACACAGCGCTGCTCCACATTACACACACTACACTCTCTACACACTACACACAGCGCTCCTCCACATTACACACAGCGCTCCTCCACATTACACACACTACACTCTCTACACACTACACACAGCGCTCCTCCACATTACACACAGCGCTCCTACACATTACACACACTACACTCTCTACACACTACACACAGCGATCCTACACAGTACACACTACATACAGCATTCCAACACACAACATAGAACGCTCCTATACACTACTCATAATGGTCCTACATACTACACACAATTACATCAGATTATGTCAAAGTAGTGTGGTTATAAAAGAGGCAGGACCTCCCAATTTAACACTCATCTTTAATAGAACCCAGCCAAATGAATTGAGAGCCTTGAAAACTAGTGGTGGGCCCTATCGACACCAGTACTCAGTTCTTACTAAGAACGATCCTCTTACTAAATACTTGGATATTTTCGTCGTTTAGTCGATACTAATAGATACTCAAGTTTTGGCATGTTGGGATTTTTAAAACTATATTATATTATTTTTTAAAACTAAAAAGCATTGGAAAGGCTGCAGACCGAAAAACTATTGTCCGCGGTATACAAAGATATGCAACTCATCTCCAAGATGGAAGCTGGGGGGGAATTCAAGAGTTTATGAATGCAGTCGATCCCCAAAAGTTCAGCTAAATTAGGAAAAAAAAGATTTTTTTAAATGAAGCCCTGCGCTCCCGCTAAAGAATCATAACAAAAACCAAAACCCAAAACAGAAAAGAGTTTATTAGAAAAACCCCAACAGCAAAAGACACAGCTTAGGTGAATGAATGTAGGCCTACTACTGCATTTCATGGCCTTTTATTAATTTTTAAAAAAAATGATTGACATTATTACAGTAAGGACCTTTAGTTATGTCTCTTGTTGAATCTTAGTAAGTACTGAGTACTTATCGATGTTGGGCTCTCTTAGTCGATAAAGTAGTCGATATTAGCTAGTATCGACTAGCGCCCACCCTTACTGAAAACTCCACAAAATGATCCGAGTTCAAAAACGTCCAGTCTGGGATTCAATCCACGGCCATCCACTCTTTAGTCCAGCATGAAACCGACTGAGCGAACGGACCACCCGCACCTCAGATTTTGTGACAACAACCAAAATTTTACATCAAGTGAGACTCACTATGGTCTACTGTACGTGATGAGGTTAGTTTAGTTTGGTAATTAGTTTTCATTTAGTTTTAGTAGGAGTTTTACAGCACTTGCAACACAATAAGGTCATATAAGTGACGAAGACTAGAGGTGTTAAAGAGTGTAACAAATACAAAAAAAGGAGGAAGAGATAAGGATGATAGATGTTTGATAGGATAAGAAAGAAGGAGCAAACCACAGCAGAGCACCCACCAACCACCCACCCACTGACGAATTCCGTCCTACCTGTGGCGGGTTGGGGTGTGTGATGGGCGTGGACACGCCCGAGGTGGAGGCGGAGGTGGGCAGCGACGGGGAGGGCGACTGTCCCTGACTGGCCATGTCTGAGCTGACACTCTCGCTGGACGGGGAGTCGCTCAGGTAGTTGGGCGTGCGGTGCTTCAGGTGGCAGCGGCTGCGAACTTCTTCCGACACCGAGACTAGGGCTGGGGGGAGGGGAGG